ATTGAGCAATTGATCAAGCTCCTGTAGCAAATCAATTCTTTGTGGTTCCGCCAACCTCCAACTTCTGATAAGGTACTTTTCCTATGGCCCTCTCGGTTTATTCTTTCTCTAGTCAATGAATTATTGATTTAGGTGTCACAGATCATATGACTGGATGCTCAGAAGCTTTCTCGACTTGCTATCCGTGCTCTAGAAAAGATACAAGTTCAGAATTGCCAATGACTCCTGTATTTCTATTGCTGGTAAGGGTTTGTTTATATTAACGTCTGGTCTAAACTCTGAAGTCTGTTTTACATGTTACTCTGTTGCAATGTAACTTGTAATCTGTCAGCAAGTTGATAAATGATATTGATTGCGTTGCTAAGAGGGTAGCTGGACTGTACTGCATCCAAAAGAAGAGTACGAAAAGTGAGGGCACGCAACTCATGAGCTGTAGTTTATCTCGAGTCATTAAATGTGCATTATGTAATTGCATCATCATTTGAGTTATCTTAGTTTTTAATATTGAAAAAAATTATATCTTTTGATGTTTTCTAATAAAAATCTTTCTAACTTCAATTTTGAGATGTGAGTTAGCCAAATATCATTGGGTCCATTACCCACCCCACACTTACACTCCTTCCGCTTCTCTCTCCTTTATTCACAGTGATATATGGGGGCCATCTCGCACTTCCAGTTACATCAATAAACTGTGGTTCATGACCTTGATTGTTGAATGACATAGGTTTACATTTCAAAATACAAATCAGAAGTTATGGTGCCATTCCAAAATTTCTACACCATTATTTTTAACTCAAATAAAAACTCTTATTCAGGTCCTTTGGACCATCAATGGTCGTTAGTTTTCAATTCTTTTTTGGTTGAATTTCTGGCAAGTAAGGGTATCCTTCATCATAGTTCGTGTACGGACACTCAATAAAATAGGGGCAGCCGAGAGGAAAAACCGTCATCTCCTCAACGTTGCTCCGCTCCATTATGTTTCAATCCAATGTCACAAAATAGTTTTGGAACGATGCCGTTCTAACTGCCCCCTATCTCATAAATAAAGTCCCTTTTAAAATTCACAAGTTTCAAACTCTCTTAGCCATCCTAATGTCATGCTTCACTACCAATCGTGTCTTCTCCATATTAGATTCTAAAATTTTTGGGTGCACGACCTTTGTTTAGAACAATGCCCCCACTCGAGAAACTTGATCCCAAATCCATAAAATGTATCTTTTTAGGGTACTCCACAGCTCAAAAGGGGTATTGTTCTCTTGATCCTACCACAAACAAAATCTATTTGAGTTTTGATGTCTCCTTCTTTGAAAGTGTTCCCTATTTTTCTAGCTCAGCCTCAATGGAAGGGAGCTTGAGTTCTCTGACACTATCCCGTATCCTACTATTATGAATATTCCCCCCATTGTTCCTACCACTGAGGAGTTTCTTGTTTCGTTGAGTGCACCATCCCCTCCTCCCACTGTCTGTGTTGACACTTGGCACACCAATCCCAATGCTCCTACTCTAGAGCTCTCTTCCTCCTTATAGGACCTTGACTCCACTCCGAGCGACATCCTCAGCACAACCCCTCTTTTGAATGAGGAGGTGAGTTCTCCGAGTAAGGTATGCAATCAATTATTCTCCTTCTATTCTATGACAAAATATTTCTCTTTTCACAGTTTATCGTCGACCTATAAAGTATTTGCTACTACCCTAATAGACCATCAGATCCCTGCTACTCTTGAAGTTGCTCTTGCTGATCCAACATGAGAAATGACAGTAATGAAGGAGATGAATGCCCTTCAGGGAAACTATACGTTGGATGTTGTGGATTTTCCTTGAGGTAAGAAAACTGTAGGCTGTCGATGGATTTGTAGCACCAAGTTCAACTATGACAGATTCTTTGAACGTAACATGACACGATTGGTCGCCAAAGGGTACTCATAGACTTACAGAGTTGACTATGAGGAGACATTTGCTCCAGTGGCTAAGTTAAGCACTATTCGGGTCCTATTGTCACTTGCGGTGAATCCATGCTAGTCTTTAGTCTAACTAGATGTCAATAATGCGCTCTTAAATGGAGAGTTTACAGAAGACGTGTACATGTCTCTTTCTCCTAACTTTGACTTTATTGCCTTTAGAGGGCAAGTATGCAGGCTACGAAGTCTCCTTATGAGCTAAAGTAGTCCACAAAGACCTGATTTTACAAGTTTACAAAGTTGGTTGTGGGCCATGGTTTTACTCAGGCTCAATTGGATCACACCCTCTTCTTTCGACATTCCTCCAATGATCAGGTATCTATCCTTATTTCCTATGTTGACGATATTGTTCGTACAGATAACAATCTGTCGCATTAGAGTTTTTGAAAGATATTCTTGCCATATCCTTTGAAATGAAGGACTTAAGTTTATTCCGGTACTTCTTAGCCATGGAAGTGACTCAACCATCTTGAGGTATTTGCTTGTCTCAACGCAAATATGTGATTGCTCTCTTGACAGAGAATAATCTTCTTCTGAGCAAACTTGTTGTTGTTCCTATGAATCAAAATGAAAAATTATTTGATATTCCCAATATCATGCCTGTCAACAACACTCATTACCAACGTCTTGTAATTCTTCTGAGCAAACTTGTTGTTGTTCCTATGAATCCAAATGAAAAATTATTTGACATTCCCAATATCATGTCTGTCAACAACACTCATTACCAACGTCTTGTAAGAAAAAATATCTACCTTTCCCATACTCGTCCTGTCATGCAGTTGGCATAGCAAGTCAATTCATGTATGACCCCTATGAGCACCATCTTCAAGCTGTTCACTGTATTATCCACTATTTGAAAGGTACACCTGACTCATGTTTGTTTTATCCCATCATGCCTTTCGATATATTGTTGTTTATACAAATGCTGATTGGGTCGGACCGATTCATGATCGAAGTTCCACCTTGGGATATTAATTATTTAATTTATTTGGGTTGGACCGATGGGGCAGTCTTGTCACGTGGAAAAACAAAAAAAAATAGTCTATGGTTGCTCAGAGCAGTGTTGATATTGAGTTCCAATCAATGTCATTGGGAATATGTAAAGCTCTCTGGTTAACATCATGCTCCGCAAACACTGTATGCCAACCTCCATCTCACTGCAGCTATTATGTGATAATAAGGTTGCAATCAACATTACTCGCAATCCAGTTCAATATGATCGTACCAAGCATATAGAGATTGACAAACACTTCATTAAAGAAAAGATTGAGTCCGAGGAAATGTATGTTTCTTTTGTGCCCTCCAGTGGTCAACTAGAGAACATCCTCACCAAAAATTTTTCTCTTTCTTTGTTCGATAAAATCCAAGTTGAAAATGACTGACATCTATGCTTCAACTTGAGGGGGTATTAAATTTATAACGACAAGTTCTAGTCGTTATTACTTCTTATTAGATATTATTCCCTCATTATTTTTTTCCTATTTATTTTATTATGTTTTATTTACTTCCTATTTGTTTTATTCTATTTTTATTTCTTTTCTTTATTGTGTCTCTATTTTAATTAGGTTTAAATATTCCTCCTATCAATAATATCAAATTGTTTTAGTCACAAATTGAACATGAATTTTCACTTGAATGCTGTCTACGCAAAATTTTAAATTCCGGAAGATAAAAGCTTATTATAACAATACCTTGACTTCTATTTTTGAAAAGAACAAAAAATTAATTTATTGTGAGCTATAACATTAGAGTTTTTTTGGTAATGACATGTTAATTGACAGCATATTGTTAGACTATTATATTACAGTACCAGAGATTGTTATACCTAAATTGTAGATATTAGGAATAAGATTCATTTGTTTTGGTCCTAGGAAGTTACATAAATGTTTTGATAGAAATGCTTTCATAATGGGTGATGAATCCATGAGAGAGATACCTATGTTTCGACATAGTGTAGGGGAACAAGATGACAGCTTTAAACTAATCTCCTTGTCTTCTTATGTCAAAAATTGGAAATTAGAATTATGGACAATTAAATCTCTTGGCGTGATAGGGTCATTTCGAATCAATTTTGATTTTTGATTTTGTTTTGTTTATATTTTGATTTAAAATAAAACATGTTTGAGATGATATAATAGGTTCAATTGTTTTTTATAAACACTTGAATCAATTTAGATGTTTTGAGTGTTTTAACAAACAGGCTAATTTGTAAAAAAAAAAAAAAATAAATACAGGCTAATTTGTTTTTAAAAATAATAATAAAAAAAAAACATGCAAAAACTAAACTAAACAACACATAAAAAAAAAAAAGTTATCCCAAGCAAGCCCTGAGTCTACTGATTGTATTTGAGAAGGTATATTAGGCTTACGAGTAGTGATGATGATATCTAGCTTAAGTTACATTTTCTGAAATGGTATTCGTTTTGCTAAAGCAGGATCTATTTATTTAATTTTTAACCAATTTATTAATGAGATATTATACAAGTAGGAAGATTGTATATTATTAATATTATCAATATTGGCAACATGTGTTTAAGGTATGGTTTTATGTCAGCCATAAAGCAGACCACTTGTAGTTGGGACGAGGCTAACAATGCATAATGTAATTTCTCCTGATAATAGAAACATTCAGGTATATAAAACAAGTTTCCAAATATGTTCTGGAGCACCAATTATCTAAAACTTGCTTGAGATCAGAGTCGACAACTATGATATGAATGATCCATTTCTGAGTCATTCTAAAAAAATTAGCATAAGAATCAAAATATACACCTTTTTTCGTGTGGACACAAAACAAGCATATTTTAATAATCCTTTTCCTTTATGCTGTTGTTTAACTTTGTTTGGTTTAAAGACTTGGTCCATTCAATCTATTCAGCTTTCAAATTTCAATGGTTTTGCCACTTTATGATGTAAGATAAATGGTTCCAATAATGGATACATAAACTATGATAAGTATAGTACTTGTGATTTGTGTTTTCTTTCCTTATTCTTCGACTTATTTAATGTTTTAAAACTGATACGATTTTATTTTTGGTTAATATGCTCATTGTTGGATATTTCTTTGTTAAATCACAGGAAAATAGGTATGCAATGATGGATCCTTGCTATCCTCAGTTGGTATGGAGTTCTTCCTTCCTATTAAACTTTCTCTTTTGGACTTTTATTATTTTTCAGTTAGGATGATTTTTTTTTCTTTTTGGCACTCTTGGGTATTTGGAATGTTAATTTCTGTTTTTCATTTCAGCCTGTAGGTTTTATTCGTGAACAAAGCAATGTAATCATGAGGCAGGTAGGCTGCTCCCTTCCACTTAATTATTCACACTGAATGGTATTATACTTAACTTTCCCCAAGCTCTGTGATTTTAAATCTATTTGTCGTAGTTTATCAGAAATTCCCTTATATTGAAGCATTATATAGAATATTTCAGTAAATTATGTGCACTAAGGTGGTTTGTTACTGCAAAACTATGTACATCTTAGTTTTCAAAGTGATTGTTGTTTTTATTCTATAGGAGCTCCTTAGGGGTCATTTGGAATCACTTTTGTTTTTTGTTTTTCGTATTTATTTTGTTTTATTTATGTTTTGATTTGAATTAAAACATGTTTGGTTGCACTGGTTGTTTAAAAATAAGTTGATTTATTTTTGTAAAAATAGAAAAAAAAAACTTTAAATAAGCTTTTCTTAAAAAACAAAAGTCCCTTAGTAACTGTCTGACATTTCAAATTGCATTTAAGGCATTTCTGTATTTCTATTAGACATATGGTCCTTGATGAAAATGCAGAGCAGCTGGAAGGAATTTTTATTGGATTCTTTTTATAATCAAAATGTGGCATCAAGAGGATCCATTTTAGATATTGATGTGTATTGATCTGTGCACATAGGGATGTTTAACACGAGGGTTCACTGATCGTACTGGTGGGTTTTTCTGTAATGGCTTTTCTGTGTTTTTTTTCCCCATTGAATCTATATTTGTAGTGTTGAAATTTTTTCTAATTATGGTATGGAGCTTAGCATTTTCATTTCTATCTTGTGCTTAAATTTATTTGGAGGATTTGCATACATTCCACTTAATTCCCATGTATTTACATATCTAACACCTAAACGTAAATTTTTACATACATACCACATGAACTGTGCATGAAAAAGGTGTATTTTAATTTTTTAGAAGTTAAAATGGTGGTATTTTTGTTGTGATATGAATGATTTGGGTGGTATAAATGTAAAAAGTAATGTTTAGGTGTTAGATATGTAGATACATAGGAACTGGGTGGTATGCATGCAAATGCCCCGAAGCCCCAATCTCTTTCTGTTTGGGTTACTTCTCAAGTAAATTTTATGTGTATTAAAATCTTACAGCTACTTCGTTCAAGACGGCCATTTATTGCTCACATAACCGATGCTATGGGCAATGAAATATTTAGGGTAACAAAGCCTACTCCCTGATGATAGAGAACTTCTAAAACTTTTAAATTCTACTTTAGGTTTTTCCATCTTTATGCTATATTATTTTTAGATGTAGGTTCGCAGGCCATTTTGGTGGATAACCAGTTATTTTTAGATGTAGGTTCACAATCTATGCAGAGGTTGATGGAAAGGTATTCAAATTTGCGGGTTTATTTTTCTCGCTGTTTGTGTGACTTTTGTAAATTGGATATGGTTGCAGGAAGGTGCTATTGGATTTTATCCTTGTTGCTTAGGAATATTTACATGCATGCTACTCGACTCCTATGTATTTACATATTTAACACCTAAAATTCAATTTTTACATACATACCCACCTTACCCATGCATGAAAAGGTGCATTTCTCTTTTTAAAAGTTAAAATGATGGTATTTTTGATATGTGAATGGTTTGGGTGCTATAAATGTAAAAAATAAAGTTTAGATGTTAGATATGTAAATATGTAGGAATTAGGTGGTATGTATGTAAATGTCTCAATTATTTATACATCATTTTGTATGCAGGAAATTGGTGTAGTTTGCAGAAGATGGCACCTTTGGAGGCGAATATACGACTTATACTTTGGGTATCATTTCATTGTCTTCGTGTCAAACTTCTCTTTATCTTTGATGGGAAAATGACGGAGTTTCATTGGATTTATATTTTTTGGGGCATTTACATACATACCACACAATTCTTATTTTAAATATTTAACACCTGAACTTTGATATTAACATTTACAACACTCAAAATTTTAACATTGCATAAAAAAAAGAAAATAACATTGCTTCTAACTTTTTAAAATTCAAATGTATCTTTTTATACATAGGTTATAGCATCTAGGTGGTAAAAATGTAATATTCAAACTTTAGGTGCTAAATATGTAAATTCATAAGAATTGTGTGGTATGTATGTAAATTTCCCTATTTTTGAATTTAAATCATATCTGTACCTGAAATATCATTCATTATGTTGTACTTTTTTGTTTTGAGCTAACTTTAGAACCTTTTAGCTTATTGATTAAAAAATATTTGAATTCGACGCGGCAATCTTTTCAAAATTGAGAAATTGCAGTGGCTTCATGAAGCATTGATGCCATACAATGTAGATTCTTTTATTAAAGTGTATCATGCTTGGACTACTGCATTTTGTGAACTGGATGTAATTTTTTTTGGAAGTTAAAAAATATGTATTTTTTTGGGATACTAGATTGTAGAGGATGTACCATGCATCAGAACATAGTAGCTTTGGCTGGAGAGTAACAAATATCTATATGGGAAGTAAGAAGTAGAAAAGTTGTAATTTTTTGAACTGCGGCATAAATTTAGGGCATTGTTACTAAAGTAAGAAGTGTAATAAATGGAATAAAACATATCAGTTTTTGCTTGGATCAATCTTGTTTCAAAATCTGCGTGCTAACGAAGGAGCTTGGCTTGCATTTTATTAAATGTGAATCTACTTGGATGTGGATCCTTGGAGCATACCCTAAAATAGAATTGGAGCTGGTTTCCTTTGATGGTGTAAATTCAGTGAGGAAGCATGTCTTTTATTCACTGAAGCATTAATAAAATGGAAAAAGTTGTAGAAACCATTTCTACATAAAATTGATTTTTCTGTTTCAGTATTTTCTGTTCCCATTATAGGAAAAACCAACTAAAAAAGAACTACTAATTTTCTGTTTCAATTTGTACAACAAACAATAAGAATCTGTAATCTTAGCAAGCATCACTATGAAGATGAACCTTTGAAGCCCTCAAAATAAGCTCACACTCAGGAGAGCAATACCATTGTAACAAAGATCTTACTTTTATGAACTGTCTTAAGGACAATTACACTTGCACATGCTTTTTTCCTTATGTCCCCATCATTGCTGCTGTTTTTTTTATTCTTTTTTTGTGCATGTATCCGTAATAATTGTAAGTCATCTTTTATTCTCCAAGTCTAGCCAAATTTGAAATTTAGTTCGGAGCTGGAACTTACAATAGATTCTGGTTAGTCATTGGAACTAAATCTTGTGTTTGTTTTCTGTTTTTTATCATTCTTTTTTTTTATTTTACTAAATATTTTGTTGGAAGATTTTGTGTGTTTGTTTTCTGTTTTTTATCATTCTTTTTTTTATTTTACTAAATATGTTGTTGGAAGATTTTGATACACACCACTCAATTCCTATGTATTTACATTTCTAACACAAACTTCAATTTTTACATAAAAACCACCTTACCTTTGCATGAAAAGTTATTTCTCACTTTTTTAAAAGATAAAATGGTTGTATTTTTTGTGAAATGAAAGAATGGGTGGCTTAAATGTAAAAAACAAAATTTAGGCGTTCCATATGTTGTATAATATGTAAATGCCTCTATTTTGTTGTGAGAGGGGCCTAATGTGCACGTCCATTGTATTGAGGATTGTCGCTTGGGTAAAATGTTTAACTTTTTGGTATAAGAACTTTCAAATGAATCTTTGGATCAATCGATTTGCAGGGAATCTATAATGGATTCTATGATTGCCTGCACAAAACTACATGTCATTGAATTCATAGTTAATACTGAAATTCCGAATAATGTGAAATTATATTATTGATATGAAATGGGGGTATAAATAATCTTTACATGAATTCTAAAATAAGAAAAACAATAGAAATGAAATAATAGGAAATGAAAGATATACCACCTATATCTTCAAATAGTCAACAACAACAACAACAAAACCTTTATCCCACTAAGTGGAGTCGGCTACATGAATCCCTTTTCTCCATTGCGTCCTATTTAGAGTCATATTTTCATTTAAATATAATAAATTAAGATCATTTTTTTATACAATATGCCCAAGTCATCCTAGGTCTTCCTTTGCCTTTCTTAACATAAGTAGAATCTAAGACATCTACTCTTCTAATCGGATCATCAAATGATCGATATTTAATGTGACCAAACCATCTAAGACGATTCTCTCTAATTTTGTCCGTCACTGGAGCTACACCAACCCTATTACAAATATATTCATTTCGCATTTTGTTTCTAAGTGTAAAGCCACTCATCCACCTAATCATTTTCATCTCGGCAACACTTAACTTAGTTTTATGCTTCTCTTTTAAAGGCCAACATTCAACGCCATAGAGCATTGCAGGTCTCACCACCATAGAGCATTGCAGGTCTCACTACCGTCTTATAAAATTTTCCTGTCAGTCTAAGCAGCACTTTTCTATCTCACAATAGGCCCGAAACTTTCCTCCACTTCAACCAACCAACTTGAATTATACTAATAACATCTCCATCAATATCACCATCACTTTGAAAAATAGGCCCGGGATTAGGGTTGTAAACGGATAACATCCCCATCAATATCACCATCACTTTGAAAAGTAGGCCCGGGATTAGGGTTGTAAACGAGCCGAGCCTGAGCGAGCTCATGTTGGCTCGTGTTCGGCTCAATCGAAATTGGCTCGTGAACAGTGTGTTCGTGTTCAACTGGAAAAACTTATTCATCTGGCTCAAAATTGGCTCGTTACTCGTAAGGCTTAAATAATTATAATAATTATTTTTTAAATAAAAATTAAATAATAATTTTTTTCTAAAAAAACTATTTGTATAAAAATTAATTAATTATAATTTATAATATTTAATTTAATGAATATTTATTATGTGTGTGTATTTATTTTTGAGCCAATTAGAGCTGAATACAAGTGAACAAACTTTTGTTCGTTTTCGGCTCACGGCTTCGAGGAGAACGAGAGGGGGAAGATCCGGTTACGACGACAGCAAAGGAGAAGATCCGGCGCAAGTTTAAAAATTTGTTCGTGTTCGGTTCGTTAGATTTAACGAACGAGCCGAAAACACGAGTTGTTTACGAACAAAGAGCCAAATTGACAACCTTAGTCGAGATGTCTAAGGATCGCGGAAAAGGATCGCGGAAAGCGGAAAAGGATTGCTAACGGGAGATCTGGCGTCGGGCTGTGGGATTCGTCGGCCAAGGAAAGCCCTAGCCTTACTCAAACAAAGAAACAAAGGCCTTTAGACTCCAAGGTAGACTTCCATAATTCAAGTTTTCCTTGAGACTTTTCTCGTCTTATCCATGAGAAGGATATCATCAGCAAAAAGCATACACCAAGGTACATCCTCCTGTAAGGGTCCAGTAAGATCATCCAATATATCTCCAATTTGTCAATTCATATATCTCTAATTAGTTAATTCATATTAATTATTTGAAGATAAAGGAAATAACATAAAACATAAAATAAAAAAAGAAATAACTCCAATCCAAGGAAATAAATTTAATCGTCATAACTTCTAACAAGAATGAATTTTTTCCTAATATAACTTCTAACACTTCTCCTCAAGTTGAAATATCGTTGAAAATCATGTTCAATTTGGATTCAAAAACATTAAACAATGGGCGAGGAAGATTTTTTGTGAGGTAGAATTTGAAGTCTTCATCCCATACTTAATAATCAATCCCAAGAGTATTTAGTTGACTACAATTGTCTTGGACTGTAGTTTATGCAGTGTCTGTAGGTAGACGGAAGACTTTTACAGATAATGTTGTAGGGAAGTTTGTAGGGAAGTACATAACCAACAGAAAATGTTGCAGGGTATGACTTGTCAAAAAAAAAAGAAAAAACCCTGAAAGTAGGCCTTGCTGCAAGAAAAGGCTCCAGAGGATAGTCTGATTTAAGAAAAAGTTTTGGAAGAGGGCTTGATGTAGGAAAAGGTCCCAAAGGAGGGCCTGCTGCAGAAAAAATTTTGGTGGAGGATCTGCTGCAGAAAAAACTCCGGAGGAGGGCCTGATACAGAAAAAGACTCTCAAGGAGGGCTTGATGCAGGAAAAGGCTCCGGAGGAGGGTCTATTGCAGGAAGAATTCCCGTGGAAGACTTGCTGCAGAAAAAGCTTCGGAAAAGGGCCTGCTGCAAGAAAAATTCTGAAGGGGAGTGCTACAGGAAAAGTTCCGGAGGAATCAATAGAACGTGGTTGTAATGTACAACAACTGACAAAGCTCATAAATTCTATAGCAAAGAACATTGCTTCGATGACGAACATAATCTCTTTTGAATCGTCCCTGTGTTGGCCAATATTCCAATAAATTGAGCCTAGCACTAGAGCTGTGATAAAGGCCATACCTAGTCTTTGCTAGATTGTACCCCGGACTCCAATATATTGACCACTTCCATGCAAAGATTTGAATTGGCCATAACTGGATTGGGTATATTCAATTGAGAAGTAAAGATCAGATGTGCCAGGTAATGGCTTTTGCTATGCTCTCTAACCAATTCCACATTTCGCTTGTGCTGTGGAGAAGAGTTGTATATCTCTGCAAAATCATTTTTTAGTTTTACTTCTGTGGCGACAGAACTTGCTTCCAGCATTCATGTTGCTCGGTTGGCTCCATCATCGATTTTTCAAACTCAAGAAATTTTCTCAAAATATTCTATTAGCTTCTGAGAATTCTCTCCCAATGGTTCAGAAAAAATTGCTCGGCCCCCTTTTTTTTTAGCAAAAGTAACTCATCCATGGATTCAAATATGTCAATGCTTGGTTGGCGGATGGTACAGACAACAGTTCTTCCTGTGTTGACACAGTTTTTCACCGTTTTCA